GCACCAAAGCCCCCCCCCCTCTCCAAACCCCGCCTCAATGTGTGTTGGAGTCCCTCCCACTAAACAAGCTCCGCCCACCCAGGTAGGGTATATCAGTGCCTTAAAGGGATAGATCACACAAAAATTTAAATTCTATAATCATTTACTCGCCTGCATGTCATTCCAAATGATGTGACGTTATTTGTCTTTCTTTTCGAACACATTCATGAAACGTATTCCTACTGGCACACTGCATTGAGTCTACTGAACATAATATGCATTGAATGGTTACCGAATTTTTGAATCACGACGGTTTTCAGAGGAAATATTTACCCGCGTACTAATTAAGTTTATAAAACGGAGAGTTCTGGTGCTTGATTCTGATTGGCTGAGCCGCGTTTGAAGCTGTTGTAAATGACTCTACAAAGTAACATACACCTTTGTTTACGTTTGTCTGTTGCTTGGCAACCACTTTGTTGCAACCACAACTGTTTCTGAGGAACTACATTGTTTGGTGGAAGAATACGGTTTTTATTAATATCATTACACTTTATTTGCTCCGTTTTATTTTGTGAAACCTTACTACGTATATGGAATAACCGTTGTATAAAAGCAATAAGCCCCGTGAAGCCGTGGTTTACAGTGAATTTATAACTGCTAAGGGGGTTAAACTCTGCTTCGTGTCGTGCCTAACAACGCCCCTTTAGCTGTTAGAAATACACTGTAAACCACGGCTTCTTGGGGCGTATTGCTTTATTGACAGCCCAGACTTTCATATCAAAAGTAACAAAGTGCAAAGCTTATAAGTTTCGTTCACGCATTAATGGAAACCAGTACAGACAAAGACCTCAGTTCATTAAAATGAAGACGGATTTACATAGAGAAATCGATATTGTCAATCAGTCCAATCCTCGACACAGCTGACACATTTACCTGTTGTAGCATATCCACGTTGTGTGCACAAAATAGTCGCTAACACGGTCAAAACGCCAATTAAACATCACCGTTTCGGTCAATGATTTCGGCCCTCCAAAAACGGTCTCATTTGAATATTTTTGTTGCATCACTAGTCTTGAATGAATGTTTGAAGAATCCCCATGATGCTTTGCAGATGTGAGAGACTGACTGAATAAATGCATGTTACCTGTATCTGTTTGAACACTTTAGGGATTGGTTTGCAGTTGAGCTTCTGGCATGCCTGTCTGTAGGCATTCAGAATCTCCTCCACCGTCACATTCTGGGCTGCAGAGACAAAACCACACAAAGACAAGGTCAAAGGTGATACAGAGACATACTACACAGCATATGCAACAGTTGATTGGATGCAGCCAGTTCTCTAATGGCACTTTTCCACTGCGTGGTACGACTCGGCTCAGTAAGGTACGGCTCGGTTTGGTTTTCGACTGCAGTTTAGTATCGCTTTAGAGTGGGCGGGATTATTCACACGTCGTTAGTTGCGCCGCCTATACTACCAGGTACTGTACCCAGTGGAAAACCCCCCAAAAGTGAACCGTACCGAGCCGTACCGTGCCGTACCATGCAGTGGAAAAGCGCCATTAGTCTGAATCCAACTCGTCTCATTCTCTATGTTTGGAAGAGCAATTGCTCCTACGATGCCTTAAAACACAGCTTTCGTAAACAGGTTTTGTGACAGTCTGAACAAGGAAGAGTTTGAACAATGTAAGCGAGTGAAACGAATCTGTCCTCACCGAGTCTTTGGGGAGACTGAGAGAAGTGCGTGTACGTGATTCTTGAGCGCTCTCAGTAGGGTCTTTGTGTAGCACATGAACACACACACTCAAAGAACCAAGCGGTCTAGACGTTTTAAGCATTGGCCACAGTCATATGACTACATTCAGACTTATTGTTTTGATGTGAGACACACACACACACACACACACACACACTGTGCGCAGAACTAAAATACCAGGCTCTACAGCGTGAGCATTTCACTTGCATTTGCATTGCGGTGATACTACAATGTCATTTGTTATGCAAACATATTAACCATTACATAAAAATAGGCAACGGAAATCTTAAAGCAAAGGAAGCACCAAAAGCAATTCAGAATGAATGCATGACGTATTACTACATGTTGACTGTTTAAGTGCAAAAAAGCATTGTTAACATATCTATATCTCAGAGAAAATAACATTTAAAAAAAATGTTTTTTTTTCTTTCTGACAAGTAATTCTGTGCAATATTGCTTGTATGACTGCTACAGATCCAATAACAAAACGTGGAACCAATGTTTAATTGTTTATTCATCTCTTATTATAAATGTAAATACATATGCATCATGAAAATTAGTATTAGTAGTAGTAATAACAACAATTATTCCTACTTATTACTACTCACAACACTACTTAAATACACATTTAATTATGAAAATATTTATAATATTTATACCAATATAATAATAATAAAAATTATAATACTAAAGCAATTATTTGTATTTCTTTTTTTGTGCATCAATTTCACATTGTAAGGACAATTCTGGGTCATTTTCACCCTAATGTTTATGTAAACCAGCTGTGCATGCTGTTGATTACCAATAATTTCATTATGACAATAATTTCGACTCGTCCCTCTGTGTGTATAAACAAACGGGAAGCATGTTTACAGTAAACACAATCACAATGTAAGCTCTGCAGGCCTGAGGGTTGACAAGGAAATGTAAAGCTTGTGTTTCAGTGCTTTAAGCATTCTTCAATATTTGAACCGAATTTCTTTAATAAAAATGACCCCTAAATCACCCCAATTTTTGTAACAGGAGCTGCATGTAAACAATGATTCACAGAGAGTTCCATCACATCTTCCATGTCTCTTCTGGTTATCTTTGCAGAGATTTAATTCACTTAAACTATTTACTAATTCATAGATGACATGACTTGAAAGACTGAATATAACATTTTATTTAATAATAGTTTGAAATGCATGCAGACTTCAGGAATAAAGCTTTGTTATGTTTACATCAACGTAGCTATACTGACTGCCAGGCTTTCAAAACAAATTAGCTAATTTTAAATGTTTAATTATTGTAAAAGGCAAATGTGGATTCTGCTTGTTTTTTTGCACATCTTTTGCATATTTAAACATACAAACACAGCAGAGCACTGCTGATTAGAGTAGAGATGACGTGCTGTGTTGATGACTCTATGATAATTACAAGATTAGATGCCGTCCTTCCACGCTTGCTATCATCTAATAAGCTGCAGACCAATCACGACCACCATCACTAAAATGAGCCATAAATATAAACCAATACATGAACGACTGAACGATTCAGCTAAGAGTGCATCATGAGTCTTTCATCTTCTCCTCAGGCAATCTAATTAAACTAAAGTCTGCTTTAAAAGATTTCCAATGGCTCATTCTCCATGAGAACGCCTTCTGGCGATTCAGCAAAACTTCTTTAATCCAGTCTACATCTGCAGTATCTAATATGTAAGCAATACAAGATGCGCATTAAATATAGCATGCGATTTATCGTGCAGCCCTAACCAAAACAAAGCCCAAGAATTACAACACAAACATTAATGCTGCAAAGTGCTTAGTTAAATTCCAAAAGTTATTGGTTACTTGAAAGTTTGCAAACTGTGATGATCATCCACTGTTTACTCACAAATATGGCATACAGTAACTGTTAACAGCAGACATCTGACAAAGTTTAGGTTTAAGTTACTGTTGCCAAACTTCTGACTACAAAAACTAAAGTTTGCCACTAAAGGGCTGTTCACACAGAATGCGTTTTTCCATTCAAATGTGCTACTTTTCAATTTTTTTCCTACGTAAACGCGCTACGCTACATGAACATGTATGACCGTTGCGCTCACGTCTTTTGCAGCGTTTCACACAAGCGCCACATTTTTAAGACGCAGTGTCAAGTTAAAATGATTTCAACTTTTACACGCTGCGCCGCTTGTCAATGTCAGTCCCAAAAGAGTGGACCAATCAGAAGACCCCGGAGGCGGGGCAAGCATAGCAAGCTTTTGTTTACAGTAAGTTGGCATGGAATTTTTTTTTATTTGATGGCAATTTGGCGGAAGAGGCACTCATAATGGCTGAGTCAGGAGGATACCCTGAATTATATAGGCCTAACATTTCTTCAAGCGATTATCACAACCTGTTTCTTTAAAAAAAGAAGAAAAAAAAGAAGCCTGGAGATAAATATTTCCGTTATTGCATCACGTCTCAAAAGCGCGTCTCCAGACCTTTGCGTTCTATTTCGCTTTTAAAAAAAACATTCCTGAGCAATGCGTGTTGCGTTTTTAGACACAAAGACAAATTCTGTGTGAACGGCCCCTTGAATGCTCACAGTCCGATCAGATTGAGCTCCATCAACCAGTCGCAGCAGCTGATAAAACACACTCCCTCAAGACAAAAACTGCAGGGAAATGAGGCCTTTTGAGTGCACTTAGTACAACTAACCTCATAGATTATCACAGGAAATAATCATTACTACTGAACATCGCTCTTAGTGAAAGTGGTCAATATTTAACAGTTCAATGATGTGGTTTTATCAGCAATGTAATGAGCGTTTCATTCATTTCATTGTAAAAATTATTGATTTCAAACTGGTTTCTCCTGCTGTCTTCTATTATTAGTGCAAACAGAATGTCCGACTCAATCTCACACCATTGGTTGAGACAATTATAGCTGTCTCTGCATTTTAATCTTGGACAGAAGAAAGTATTTAAATAATGTAAAAAAAAAAATGTCAAACACAAACTTCAGGCCTATGGTTGTTTAATTTGAAGTCATATTTTTTATTTAATGGTCCCACTTTATATTAGGTGGCCTTAACTACTATGTACTTACATAAAAAATAAGTACAATGTACTTATTGTGTTCATATTGTGTTGCAAAACACTTCTGCTGCTATTGAGGTGGGATACGGGTAAGGTTAGGGACAGGTTTGGTGGTATGGGCAGGTCTAAGGGTGGGTTAAGGTGTAAGGTATAGGTCAACAGTGTAATTATAATGTAATTAGAGAAATTAATAACAGATGTAATTACATTCAGGTTTTTTTTTTTAAATAAGTACAATGTAAAAACATGTACACAATCATTGTACCAAATGATTAATTTAAAATGCAAGTTAAGGCCACCTAATAAAGTGGGACAGATTTATTCATCCCAAATTTGCCAGATTCCAGGAAAAATTATACTGTAAATACCATTTTCATGACTGGACTGCAATTCCGTCCTGCATCATGGAAATCATAGAGCCCTACATGTGTGACACGTAAGACTAAATCGGGTAATACAATCAATAAAAACATTTTAAAAAGGTGTAAAATATGTAAAATATACCATTCATTTCCAGTCTGCATGCGCGTGTTTTATGAACGTGAGGGCCGTGTCAGACCAAGCAGAGTGCTACTCTGTGTACAGCATGTCCTTGGAAAAGCATTCACTTTTTAGTCTCAGCGTGAGAGAGAAAGACAGAGAGAGAGACTTCCCAAAATGGGAAAACAATAGCAAGCACTCCTTAATATTTCCAAATGCACACAGATAAATGCCATCTCTTTTCACATGTTGACTGCGTGACAGCTGGCTCCTTCAGCAGTGTCAGCGCTGGCATTGAGCATTAGATGAAATCATTAAGTCCATGTCATGAAATGTCTTCAAAGAAGAGAAAAGCAGGCATGTTTTTAAAGTGCAGCCTTCGTATTTTTACCAAATTAGCTATTTGGACACGCCATCTGGGTAGGTTTCATAACCTGAAAAAACATCCAAAAGCACGTGTACGTGTTAACCACTTCCAGGTTCCAGAACAACTAAGATAAATAGACCTGCACAGTGGTGAGATTTCAGCATGGTACATTTGAAAATGTTACCATGATAAAGATTAACCACAACGCTAAAGCATAAGTATCTCCTTTCCTAATGCACTGTATATAGACCATGGCATCATGAGAGTGGGGTGAATCAATGAGAATCTGTCCGTCAGCAAACAGCCTTTGGGGAAACCTGGGCTCTGCATTCCTCTGAATGGCGTCTTTCCAAAAGCAGCGGTGGAGAACACTTACTAAAGTGTGCTGCTGAGCTGGCCAGACGTCTAAACTAAAGACTGCTCCTTCAGATTAAAACTCATTACACTTCAATCAATACACAGGGAGCGGTACTGCAGTACACAATCCAATGCCCGCCCCCCCAAAAGGCACCCCCACCCCCCTTGAAGGTCAAGTTAATTTTAATTTTATTTTCTCAATAGCGCCAGATCACAACAGAAGTCAT